AGAGAAAGAGGTGTTGGGGTTCCCAGAGGGTTTTGCCAGGTACCACCTGAAAACAGTTTCAAAGAACTTGACTAGAAGTTGGTCAGGGGTGATAAGTAAAAGCAAAACTGGAATTAATTGGAATTAACTTATGTAGTTATTCATTAACAGTTTAGATATATATTAGTCATGCTATGGTAGAACAGCCTCCACTCTGAAAGCCTTAAGATATATTATTGGTTTACATTTTGTCATTACTTTTTTTCTTACTGCATCTAGCTCAGGTCTCACTGGTGGGTCTACACCCCAGGTTTAGAGACATTTCTTTCCTTTACACTAGCTTAGCTAAGATAGAGGCAACTCTTCATTTTTGAGAGGAATGAGGCTCTAGTAGAGCTTGCTAATAAAAACTGACTGCAAGAGCATTAAGGTTAAACAAATAATAAGGAAAATGTGATATATTAGAGGAAAGGGCAATAAAAAAATCATCCAAAACCAATTTTTTGAATATTTGTAATTTGTGAGGTGATTTTGCATGTCTGTCTTATTTAAACTGCATAAAAGTTCCATGCATGAGTGGAATAAGGGGAACCATATGGTTAAGTCTAGGTAATTATCAAAGCCCTTGCTTTTGTTTTTGGTGGTAGATTTATTATTTATTATTGTTAGGCACTTATTACATTGTTAAAAAGAACTAACTAAATGAATAAATAAAAGTGGGACAAACATGGACCAATGATGTGTAAATCAGGAATTATAATTAATCCAATTCAGGACACTAGAGGTCAAAAATATAGAAAAAGAAATCTTATGTGTTAGATAGTAATCAAGACAGTTTGCTACTGGCACAAGAACAAGACCCATAGACCAGTGGAACAGAATAGAGAGTCCAGATATTAACCCAAGCATATATGGTCAATTAATATACAATAAAGGAGCCATGGATATACAATGGGGAAATGACAGCCTCTTCAACAGCTGATGTTGACAAAACTGGACAGCTACATGTAAGAGAATGAAACTGGATTACTGTCTAACTCCATACACAAAAGTAAACTCAAAATGGATCAAAGACCTGAATGTAAGTCATAAAACCATAAAACTCTTAGAAGAAAACATAGGCAAAAATCTATTGAATATAAACATGAACAACTTCTTCATGAACATATCTCCAGGGACAAGGGAAACAAAGGCAAAAATGAACAACTGGGACTATATCAAACTAAAAAGCTTCTGTACAGCAAAGAACACCATCAGTAGAACAAAAAGGCATCCTACAGTATGGGAGAATATATTCATAAATGATATATCCAATAAGGGTTGACATCCAAAATATATAAAGAGCTCACACACCTCAACAAACAAAAAGCAAATAATCCAATTAAAAAATGAACAGAGGATCTGAACAGACACTTCTCCAAAGAAGAAATTCAGATGGCCAACAGGCACATGAAACGATGCTCCACATCACTAATCATCAGAGAAATGCAAATTAAAACCACAATGAGATATCACCTCACACCAGTAAGAATCACTATCATCCAAAAGACAAACAACAACAAATGTTGGCGAGGTTGTGGAGAAAGGGGAACCCTCCTACACTGCTGGTGGGAATGTAAATTAGTTCAACCATTGTGGAAAGCAGTATGGAGGTTCCTCAAAAAACTAAAAATAGAAATACCATTCGACCCACAAATTCCACTCCTAGGAATTTACCCTAAGAATGCAGGAGCCCAGTTTGAAAAAGACAGATGCACCCCTATGTTTATCGCAGCACTATTTACAATAGCCAAGAAATGGAAGCAACCTAAGTGTTCATCAGTAGATGAATGGATAAAGAAGATGTGGTACATATAGACAATGGAATATTATTCAGCCATAAGAAGAAAATAAATCCTACCATTTGCAACAACATGGATGGAGCTAGAGGGTATTATGCTCAGTGAAATAAGCTAGGCAGAGAAAGCCAAGTACCAAATGATTTCACTCATCTGTGGAGTATAAGAACAAAGAAAAACTGAAGGAACAAAACAGCAGCAGACTCACAGAACCCAATGGACTAACAATTACCAAAGGGAAAGGGACTGGGGAGGATGGGTGGGAAGGGAGGGATAAAGGGAAAAAGGGGTATTACTATTAGCACACATAATGTAGGGGGTACATGGGGAATGCAGTATAGCACAGAGAAGACAAGTAGTAAATCTATAGCATCTTACTACGCTGATGGACAGTGACTGTAATGGGGTATGTGGTGGGGACTTGATAATGGGGAGAATCTAGTAACCACAATGTTGCTCATGTTAATTGTATATTGATACCAAAATAAATTTTAAAATCTTATGTGTTAGAATTATAGGCATAGCTCAGTATTGCAGGTTTAGTTCCAGAACACCACAATAAAGTAAATAGTGCAATAAAGCAAGTCAAATGAATTGTTTGGTTTCCCCGTGCAGATAAAGGTTATGTTTACTCTGTCTTGTAGTCTAGTAAGTGTGCAATAGTATTATGTCAAAAAAAAAACAATGTACATACCTTAATTAAAAAGTACTTTATTGCTAAAAAATGCTAACCATCATCTGAGCTTTCAGCTAGTCATAATCTGTTTGCTGGTGGAGGGTCTTGCCTCAGTGTTGTCTTCTCACTGATCAGGATGGTGGCTGCGGTAATTTCTTTAAAACATTTGCCACATCAATGGATTCTTCCTTTCACAAACAATATCTGTGTAGCATACAATGCTACTTGATAGCATCTTACCCACAGTAGAACTTATTTCAAAATTGGAGTCAGTCCTCTCACACCCTGCTGCGGCTTTATCAACTAAGCTTATGTAATATTCTTTGTTATCATTTCAATAATCTTCACCGGAAGTAGATTCCATCTCAAGAAACCACTTTCTTTGTTCATCCATAAGAAGCAGCTCCTCATTCATTCAAGTTTTATCATGAGGTTGCAGCCAGTCAGTCACCTCTTCAGGCTCCACTTCTGTTCTAGTTCTCTTGCTATTTACACTACATCTGCAGTTTTCTCCACTGAAGTGTTGAAGCCCTTGAAGTCGTCTGTAAGCATTGGAATTAACTTGTTTCAAACTCCTGTTCATGTTGATGTATTGACCTCCCATGAATCACAAATGCTTTCAATGGCATCAGAATGATGAATCCTTTCCAGAAGGTTTCCAATTTATTTTGGCCATATCAATCAGAGGAATCACTATCTATGGCAGCTATAGCCTTATGAAATGTATTTCTTAAATAAGAAGACTTGATAGTTTAAATGACTTCTTGATCCAGGGGCTGCAGAATGGATGTTGTGTTAGCAGGCATGAAAACAACATTAATCTAGCTGTCCATCTCCATCAGAGCTCCTGGGTGACCAGGTAGATAGTCAACGAGCAGCAGTATTTGGAAGGAATCTTTATTTCTGAGAAGAAGGTCTCAACAGTGGGCTTAAAAAATTTTTAAACTATGTTGTAAATAGATGTGCTGTCATTCAGGCTTTGTTATTCCATTTATAGAGCATAGGAGTAGATTCAGCATAATTCTGAAGGGCCCTAGATTTGGGGAATGGTAAATGAGCACTGGTTTCAACTTCAAATCACCAGTTGCATTAGCCCCTAACAAGAGAGTCAACCTGTCCTTTGAAGCTTTGAAGCCAGGGATTGACTTCTCCTCTCTAGCTATGAAAGTCCTAGACAATATCTTTTCCCAATAGAAGGCTGTTTCTTCTACACTGAAAATCTGTTGTTTAGTGTAGTCATGTTCATTACTCATCTTAGCTAGATCTTGTGGTAACTTGCTGCAGCTTCTACACCAGCACTTGCTGCTTCACCTGCACCTTTATGTTATGGAGACGGCTTCTTTCCTTAAACCTTATGAACCAACCTCTGCTGGCACAAACTTTTCTTCTGCAGCTTCCTCACCTCTCTCAACTGTCATAGAATTGAAGAGAGTTAGGGCCTTACTCTGGGTTAGGCTTTGGCTTAAGGAAAAACTGTGGCTGGTTTGATCTTCTGTCTGGACCCCTCTAACTTTCTCTATATCATAACCAAGGCTGTTTCATCTTATCATTTGTATGTTCACTGAAGTAGCATTTTGAATTTCCTTCAAGAACTTTCCCTTTGTATTCACAACTTGGCTAACAGTTTGGCACAAGAGGCCTAGCTTTTGGCCTGTCCTGGCTTTCCACATGCCTTCCTCACTAAGCTTAATCATTTCTAGCTTTTGATTTAAAGTGAGACATGTAACTCTTCACTTGAACACTTACAGACCATGTAGGGCTATTAATTGACCAAATTTCAATATTATTGTGTCTTGGGGAATAGGGAGGCCAAGGAGAGGGAGAGAAATGGGGGAATGGTCATTTGGAAGAGCAGTTAGAATACACACAACATGTACCAATTGAGTTCACTGTCTTATATGAGTGTGGTTCATGGTGCCTCAAAACAATTACCAGAGTAACATCAAACACCATTGGTCACAGATCACCATAACAAATATAATAATGAGAAGGTTTGCAGTATTGTGAGGACTACCAAATGTGACAGAGACATGAAGTGAGCAAATGCTGTTGGAAAAATGGTAGCAATAAACTTGCTTGACTTGAAGGGCTGCCAGAAGCCTTCAATTTGTAAAAACTGCAGTATCTGCAAGGTGCAATAAAGCAAAGTGCGGTGCTGAGGTGTGCCTGTGTATCATTTCAGCCCATGGAGTTGGAAGAGTCAAGTGATGTGGCCCAAATCACACAACTTATAATAGGCAGAGCTAGGATTTGAATTTGGATCTGACAGGCCCCCAGTTTCTCTTTTCACTACTACTCCATGCAAAGATAATAAATATACCTCAGATAGTAAAAAGTATTTTCCTCAGGTTCATGACACACACTCTCTCACTTTCCTGTTGTGTTTTATCTAAAGGCCAGGATGGTAATGATGACGTGCAGTGTGGCCACCCACCACGGTCATCTGACTATGGACTCTAAGGGGGCTATTTTCCCATTTATCTATCAGGTTGGTACAGGTGTCTCACCGTTTGGTCTGCATCCCAGATTTGTGAGGCATGCCTTTTCTCTTCATGAGTTTCTCCATGGCATTGGGGTAGATTATTGGACGGACAGGGTGTCGTTTGTAGGCTCCAGGGTACTTCTTTTCCACTGCTTGCTCACGTCTACAGAATGGAAGAAAAAGCCACATCTCAGTCACTGCAGACAGAAAAGATGGGCAGAGTGTTTTCCCATGCTAATTCCACTCACAGATTCTAGCCATACTTAACAGATAAAGGCTACTTAAATAACAAGGCTGCTATTAAGGTTAAAAAGGGGAAAAAAAGATACTAAATCAAATGAATTTGACTTTATTCTGTTCTTCAGCTGATTGGTGGACTCAGAAGCAGAGACTGACCTTCCCTTCCTCAATACACCTCATGGGAGAGACAAAACAATGTAGAAGACCTACTTATTTTCAGTTGCTGTCCTGGTCAGTACCACAGGCTTTTCCTGTCATTGTCGGGAATACCTTAAACCACTGTCATCAGCCACCGTACTTCCCCAGGGGGCAATAAGCCCCCACCCATCCAGCTCTTCTTGAAGGAGGGCCCATTCTTGACCTACTCAGCTGGGTGAAGTTACAAATGCCTGTCAAGTGCACATTCCCCTATAACCAGCTCTGCAGCAACTCCACTCAACTGTAACCTTCAACAGGGGCAGAGATCTGCACACAGCACATGCCGTAAGGGTGAATGCATAAACCATATGCCAGTTTTGAGTAGCAGCAACACGGAAGAGTCATATATTTCTGTTGATTGATTTGTCCTAACGCAGTAAGACAGACAGTGGTGTGGATGCATACTTAATGAGCTCTTTCTCCCGCATTTCTAGCTGCAGCATGATGGCACTCAGTTCCATGTATAAATTATTAGCCCGCTCAAGTTTTCTCTCATAGTGTTCACGAATATCCAAAGCATGCCTATCAAATAAAACAAAGGATCAGTGAAGTTAACTTGGGGGAGAACAAAGGACAGCTCTAATGAAATAAGAGCCAGGATAGTTTATCTCAAAGGCATCTGTCTGAGGGCCCTCTAAATTTAAGGTTGCCTCGTCTGATACAATGACTCAGGTAAGATGGAATGGGAGATGGGAAATCCAAGCTTTCTACTTGGTTTATCCTTAAGGGTCATATCCAGCCACACAGAATAGACAAGAGGGCCAAAGATAAATCTGAATTTCATACATGTATGATTTGTAGCCTTTTCTGTGTAGTGTTGGCAATATCTTAAGAATATAGTATAATATGCTCACATGTTAACGGAAATATACAGCTAACTCTGACACCATGATCACTCATTTATACTTCTGATGGCACAGATGTTGCCTGATACAGTGGTTATCTATGACTGTGTCTTGAATCACGTAATAAATTATAAGGATCTGAGACCATGAAGTACATCTTGTAAGTTTTTGACCTCAGTCACCTGGGATAGGCGCTGAATGAACAAAGAGCATCACTCCAGGAATCATTGTTGCAAAGACACAATAAAGAATGATGACAGACTTGAGGGGAAAAGATAAGGCAGTGCTATAGATAAGAGCTAACTTTTAGGGCAACATTTAAAGAGATGAACGATACATAGCAGAGGTGAAAGGTGTGTAGAAAGTGAAATGTGATTCATAAAGAGGGCTCCTGCTAGTATCTGAAGATCTGTGGATGAGAAGAGGTGGTGAAGGAGAGATCAGCTGACCTGAGCTCTTCTCTGCGCCTTCGAATCAGTTCTTCATCTAATCGGTGTATACAAGTTCCTTCACTTTTGATCTTCTCAAAATGTTTTTTTACTTCTTCTCTCCATTCAGCCTGGGCAAGGACAAATTAGACTTTGTTAATATTCCAGGAATTTCAATCCCTGATGTAGCAAAAGGATCATGTATAAGATTTTTTTCCCCTGCATGCTTCTACTGAAGAACCTTAGAGAATAGATGCTCAATAAATATTAGCTGATAGCAAACTATTTCATGCTATTGCATCCACACACCCCATCTATACCCCACCCCATTTTCTGTCCAACATGCAATGCTCTTTTCCAGTTTCCATGCAGTGTTGGCCACCAGGAACATCACAGTTGGCATACTAGCCATCGCCTCTGGAACAAAAGAGTTCAACTTTAAGCTAAGACAGTGGCTCTAATAGTCTGTTCAGAAAGAACAGCTCTTGATAACCATTTGGTACAAGTATGCGTCACTGAGAATATGACAGTCTTTATAACTGGCACCCGAATTCTCTGAGGCTTTGTTTATGAAAATATCTTGAAAAAATATTTGGAGTAGAAGACTCAGGGGTATGAAAAGCAGGAGATGGGACTAAAACAGGAAAATATACAGGAATTTGAGAGCAAGGGAAAGGCCAGAAAAAGAGAAGGAGGGCAAGAGAAAGAGTATAGCTAAACAATTAAGTAGTCTGACAAAATGTTTAGAACAGGGATGAATGGTTAATATGTGACTTAACTTGTTCAAAATGTAGGCCTCTTCCAATTTCCTAAACCTTTAGTAAAGCCTCTGACATTCACTGTGACTTTGGATGAGTGTTTTTTTTTTTAAGAAATCAAGGAAAAATGCTGAACTTCCTATTTGGGTCAATGATAGGACAAAGATAAAGGAACGGCCACAAGACAGTAGGGATGGGGGCCAAGAACTTTAGGAAGGCCAAGTTAGAGTAGTCATGAAATAACAAACCTCCCAGAAATTCACAGAAGTGTTAGGACACTGGACTTCCCACAGGGCATGGAATTTCAAGCCAATTTTATTGGGCAGGAAAACCATTTCTGGGATAGAGTCTATAGGCAGTTTCTAGAAAAACAGCTAGAGGAAATGTTTCCTCAAAGTATGTAGAGACTACCATCCCAAGAAGCTAATAAGATTAAGATAATTTCCAGTGAAGACTAGATGTATAACTAAATGTTTCTAATTGTTTGGTCTTTTTCTGGAGCTATTCTATCTACTACCCGGATTCATGTTAACAATGCTCTCTCTAGATCAAAGAAGTATGCTGAAGTAACTGTGCAATTGCAGGTTTCTTCACAAATTTGCTCTTCCTCACTCATTTTTAAAGAGGAAATTATACTGTAATTATTTAGAAAGTGACCATCCTGCTTATCTGATTATAATATGCGAGGCCTTCATGTATATGTATGTTGACTGACCATTGGAGAAAGACTTCTGTCAGTCATCTGACTTTTGGGCACCAAACCTGCCAAACCATGTCATCAGAAAGCCAAAATCCACAGTGCTGCGCCCGCTGTTTGGCAACAGTCTTTGATGGGATCTCAGCCATAAATGCAGGTTTGGTTGGGCCCCGGGTAATGATGTTCTCTCAATCACTGGTCGTGATGTAGGATGAGTATTTAAGTTCCAAAAGGCCAAGGATTGACAATCAAGAGCTAAATCAAAAAGGATGGGGGTGGGGGGAGGGCCAAATTTGGACCTTAAAGCATCCACTTTGGGCAAAAACATGTCAGGACATCTCAGTCCAATACAGAAGGGACCAGGAAAGGAACACCTCCCTCTGGTGGTGAGGAATCACACATCACAGGTCAGATTTTTTAATTCTAGGGGAAACAAACCTCCTGATGTCTAGCTTATGGGAATTGGAAACTTAAGAGAACCTTTTAAGATTGCCTAATAGGAAAGTATATTTCCAAAAACAAGTTCCCCAAAAGAACAGGATATGTGGGAAAACACCAGATACTGATTAATAATGTGTTTTCCTAAAGGTATTGTGTTACTGGTAGATGTTAATTTTAGAGTTCTATCACATATATTTAGGGTCTTTATGTAACAGGAGTTCTAATTTGTACTTAATGTGCAATTCAGACAAATTTGGGCATATGTGAAGAAATGGAGGGTGTGAAGTCCTGAAGCCAATTTGCACAGAGACTGAGGAACTTCTGAGAGAAAACATGTTATGATGGAAGGAGAGGTCCCACATGACCCTGACCTATAACAAAGCCACCATCGTAGGAGTGGAGAGGCAATTCCCACTGTTTCATTAAAATTCCTGCAAAGCATTAGGGCATAGCCAGCACTGCTCTGTTACCTTTAACAAAGTAAAAGTAGTTCAACAGGGAAAAGAAAGTAAAAGTAGCTCAACAGGGAAAGTCAGAGTTTACTGTGTAAACAGATGGATGAGTAGATTTGGAATCCTGAGATGTCCAGAGTTCTGGTTACATCAGGAAAGGGCAGCTGCGGTGGGTGATGGCAGTACCTTAAAAATATGGCAGCATCCAGTGGATGCCAGTTGGGGACCACAGTCTTCTAGCAGAAAACAGTGCTGACCAATAAAGTAACACCAGATGCTCAGCAGGAGACTGCAATGTCTAGCCAGAGTCAGTGGAAAGCAGAGCAGACATTAACGGGAGGCTATTTGAGATGCTCTTTTCTTTCCCATGATACAGGTGTCAAATGAAGTTAACAGATGATTGGAAAAGTGAAATGTGGTATATCCATACAACAGAATATTATTTAGTCATAAAAAGGAATAAGGTTCTGACACATGCTACAACATAGGTCAACCTTGAACATGCTAAGTGAAACAAGCCAGACACAAAAGGGCAAATACTGTATGATTCCACTTAAATGAAATGTCTAGAACAGGTCAATTCATGGAGACAGACACTAGAACAGAGATTACCAGGAGCTGTGGGGAGAAGGGAACGGGAAGTCATTGCTTAATGGGTTTATGAAAAAATTTGGAAACAGACAGCAGTGATAGTTTCCCATTGCTGTTGATACAATTAATGCTACTGAATTGTATGCTTCAGATGGCAAATTTTATATTATATATATCTTATCACAATTTTTAAAAAGTAAAAAAAGAAGTTGAGCCAGTTCCAGCCTAGCTTGAAGAATAGAGTAGCAGGATGCTGGGGGACTAAGTAGTGGAAATCATATATTCTGAGTTAAAAAAAGACTTAGAGGACATCAAGCCCACCTCTAGATTGTCGCTAGTCCCACTAGTCCTCTTTACTGCCTCCCTAGGTAAGTGCTCGGCCTCTGCCTCACCACCTACTCGGTTGTGATGAGATTACTCTTAAGGCAGCGCAGTCTATCCCTCTAATGAGCTCAGTGTCTCTGCAACTCCCAGCCCTGAGAAGGACCACTCAGAAGGAAACAGAATGGTGCAAAGGCAGGGAGTGGTCGAGGTCCTTAAAGCACGGCACGGCACATGGCCCACCTGGCTGCTGGGATCTGGGGCCGGGTGAAAATGCTTTCTAAAGACTCATATCAAATATAATTGAATACCGGGAATAATAATTGCCTACTTGGGAAATTGGATTACTGTAAAGGAGGGAAGCTTTGGAAGAACCTCAGATCATACTGAAATTGGTTGCTTTGTTCATCTGTTCTGTACATGCTGCATCTTTACACAAGTGCTGTTGATGAGAAACAGATGAAGCGTTTTCTCTTGGGAAGGAGTCCGCTGGGCTCCTGGCAGCACTCTCGGCCAGCAGCTTTGGTGAAGGTGGAGACCAGTGGCTAAAAACCATTGACTGAGAACTGATGCTGAGAGGATTTTTGTCAGTGGTGAGGCCTGAGGTATAGACTGTTATAGAAAAGGCAAAAAACCACATGCTCAACACCGGAGTAGCATAAAGTGAGAACACAGTGAAGAGGAGATCTCTGCTTGCCATCCTATCTTGTCAGGAGGTCACCAGAAAAGTACCCAGGATGTGACAACCAAAAGGAGGCTTAATTTGTGTAGCTTTGTGGGAGATGAATAGTATCTTACAATTAAACTGTTCTTTACAGTTTACAGTACAGATGCATTTTTATTGTCTCATTTGCTCCTCACTGACCCTCTGCAAGGAAGATATGACCATTTTCACTGCTTGATGTGTAAGCTGAGGTTTAGAGACATTTAGTGACTTGTCCAAGATCACAGGACAGGGGTTTAGACTCAGGTCTGTTGTTCTTCCTAGTATCCCACTAGCTGGTTTATAAACACTTTATTACCATGTGCCAGAGATAGTCTGAATTTCAAATCAGATAAATCAGCTTGTATTTGACAATAAAAAATTCTAGGAACTAGCAAGGATGGTAGATTTAAGGCTATTTAAGGAGAGGTAGAATTTTATGTTGGGGGGGAAAAATGTGGAAGAATTAATGAATCTTAAAAGACATTCAATGTACTAAATTTTTCTCCTCCTTCCTTCTCCTCCCCACCCCTTTGTCTCCCTTTCACATTCTTGCTCCAAAAGAACCCTTCCTTTTCTGAGTCCACTTTTCACACTAAATATGCTGATAAAAGTGAGATGGTACAAGTGAGGGTACTGACTGTGGGTGCTGAGCTGCACTGCACGGTGCCTTACATAGGGTGGGTGCTCAGGAAATGCTGCACTTTTACTCCTTTTCCTATTACCTGGGTCTGGTAGGGATCAGGATGTCATGGATCCTTGTCTCCCACCACTCCCTATACCTATTGATAGTAATTTAAACAGACCACTAGCCCTTGTAATGTTCACAGGATTTTTATTTAATAGTCACAAATTCTTCCCCTCTCTGCACCCATTCCCTTACAATATACTGTGGTAGATTCTCTCATCAAGAGATGAAATCTGTTTCTTAATCTGGGTTGGCTGGCCTGTGATTTGCTTTGCCCAATAAGATATTAGCATGCATCATGTACATACAGGCTTAAATATCACTTGTTCACTGGAGCTTGCTCTCTTCCTGCATTTGTTTCCCTGAAGACACCATGTGACCAAGCTCAAGCTAGCCTGCTAAAGGATAAGAGGCCACGTGGAGAACTGAGGTGTTCTAACTAATAGCCGGCCAATCACCAGACTTGTGAATGAGGCCATTTGGAACCTGCCAGCCTGCCAGCTGACCTGGCAACCGACTGCAGACATGTGAGTGAGCCCAGTCAAAGCCAGCAGGAGAACTGCCTGGCCCAAACTGCCAACCCTCAGAACTGTGAGCTAAACAAAAACTTATTGTATTAAGCTATAAGTTTTGGAATGGTTTGTAATGGAGTAAAGGCTAATAGATACATCAAATTATATTTTATTTGGTGCTACTAGGTGACACATCAGTTAGAGAAGAGTTCTCTCTGGGTCTAATCATGGGCTCTCACTGGTACTTAACTTCCCTCTTTTTTACATTAGCTTTTTTACTCAAGGAAAGCAACACTTTCATGAAGGTCAGCAGTGATTCTAATTCAAATATACTTAATTACAGTTTCCATATCCCTTTTTCTTCTTTTCACCAGAACACACAATAAGGATGACATCTGGTACATGTTATTTTCAAATAAGATAATAACATGTGTTAAGTGCTTAAAAAATTCTAAAATGTGGGTATGCAATTTAATTAGTAGTTTGTTAAAACCTATACATGCTTATGTTACTCTACAAGAAGTTATGTCAAAGAAATAACCAATCTTCCCATGTGTTCTTCCACCTGTTACTTCTATAGCTTTTCTTCTTCCTTCCTAATTACAGCCCTTTAGTAGAATTTGTGCCTCATATCGAAAATTACCGAGTATCATAATTCTTCCAGTGGTAAAGATACCTCAAGACAAATGTGGGACATAGAAGCCACAGGGCATAAATTTGCAAAGAAGTAAAAAGCTAACCTTTTCAAACAATATGGCTTCTCTCTCACTTACCAACTTTACATTTCCCTGTATGGCCCCAGAAGACGGCTGGTTAGCCAGAGACGGGTAAGATTCCTCAAGGGAGGAACAACCTAAGACAGGCACGGTCGCAGGGGGGCCATCAGGTGAGAAACTGGCGATCAACAGAGGTGAGGCTTAGAACCTCACCCCCCCCTGTTTTGAGAGGAAATCTTCTGCACCCGTGGATGTTTTGTTGCCCTTGTCTAGCTTGGATTAATACTTAGTCTATAGGCACAGACCTGATCATCTACATTTGCCCTCTTACAGCACTAAATTATATTTTCTACCTTTATCGTGCATCTACCTACCACTTCAGCATTTTATTTAAAAAAAAAGGGAGAAATGTGGGATTCACATATAAATCAAGTATAAAAATCAAATGAATAATCATATCTGACCTGATTGTTTATAGTTCAGGATGCGTGATCAAAACCGAAAGTTTCTGTGATATGACTGCCCTTGCATTGTTCATCATGTAAGAACTTATTCACTATGTAAGAACTTGTTCACCATGTAGGAACTTATTCACTAGGTAAGAACTTGTTCACCATGTAAGAACTTGTTCGTTATGCTTCAGAAGATTGGAGACTGTTGAGAATTAGGCTTGGGGTTGATTAATGATTGTGCATTGAGTCTCCTATACAGAATTTTATTGTTAACAACCATTTGATCAATAAATATGAGAGATGCCCTCTCAAAAAAAAAATACCACAGTAATATATTCTCAGTAAATTGGCATGTTCAGAAAAATAAAAGTAACGTGTTAGTTATCAAAAAAAAATTCTAAAATGTCATATGTGTGAGGTATTTTAATTAGTGTTTCACAATGAATAGTTATAGAATTGTTACAAGAATCAGAATGACTTTCTTCTAAAGGCTACTCTTTCTCATTGAGCTCCCAGTCTGTCTGTTCAGTAGCACCCCATAGGAAGCTTCCAGACTTACTTGAGACTTGAAGTAAGTTTCTTGTGGGGTGGCAAGAACGTCTGCTGATGCGATGTCTAAATGCAGGAGCGTCTGCCGAAAAGAAGGGCGGTTGCGAGGCTTACTCTGCCTGAAAGTAAAAAGACACAACTTGTGCATTCCAGAATAGTGTCCAGGAGGATGAAGATTTTATCTACTTTATGAAAAACATTTCTGATGCCATGTATGGCTATATCTCAGGCAGTGTTGATATACTGAGGAGTGAAAGGAAAATGTAATTATGAGATACCACTATTGATTAAATGAGAATCTCTGGGATTGTTAGAGTAGACAGATGTAAGCAGGAGAAAAGGGTCAGCGCATCACTCAGGAAGACTCCTCCTTGGCCAACCCCTAAGTCTCCTTAGTTCCCAGTTCCACAGTCAAGGATGCCTAACTTATCAGGAGGCTCAGATAGTCAAGGACACCTAGATTGTGGAGGCCCCAAACCCCAGGGTTCCCTGATAACAGGGCATACTCAAGGAAAGACCTTGTCTGAAAGTAGCCTCACCTCATTAAAATAACTTCTAAACCTAATTAGCATTGTGGTTTTGGCCCCCCTCTGGGCTTTGCTTAGGGACTTATGGGTAAAGGTGCTTGTGTACTGAGAAAAGCATTATATAACTGAGAGCTGTCAATCAACCTGTCAAAGGATGTAAGAGGCAGGGCAGGACTTCCTGCCATCTTAAAAACATAAAAACGAACCTAAGCCTAATAGCAGGGCTGCCTCAGGTTTCCAAACAGCTTGCTCTCCACCTCATGAAAGTGTGATTATGCTTTACTTAATAAACTCCTGCTGTTTAAAACTGTCCTAAGTCTGTCTCTTGATTGAATTCTTTCCTTTGAGAAGACAAGAATCGGGAAACAACGCATTCCTCGGGTAGCAGAATCAGTGACCTGTTTGATGATAATAGTCCCTTAGGACTGGTAAAGTAATAACTGCTATCATTTATTAAGGCATTCTATTTCAAGATACACCAAATTCTTTATTAATAAATAGCTCCAAGGTGCCCAGTCTTTACACTATCAGGTGATTCACTCCAAATACATGCTGGAGTCTTCCTTGCAAGTGTTAGAGAAGCTTTAAATGTGGTTTTGAGGAGGAAGGTAGAAGTGAATATAAGGAGTAATATATTTCTTACCATGTCTGTTTCATGAGGATTTTGAATCCATCAGGGCAAGTGGAAGGAACTGGAAGGTGTAGGCTATTGCTTCCAACACCCCAAATAATGGCTGAAGAGTCTACATCTTTGTAAGGGATCTCTCCTGTCAGCAGCTCCCAAAGCACCACTCCAAAAGACCTAGAGTGGTACCAGGAACATGGACAGAAGATTACTTCAGAATGACTGGTTTGTATCTTAGTTCTTTATTAATTTTTAACCAAATATATATACTCAACTTTAAAATTCAAATACTGCTATAAGAATAAAAACAGCCAGGAAAACTCTGCAAAAGAAAATCAATAAGGGGTAACCATCACTACTTGGTATTAAGACATTTTATAAGGCTTCAATAATTAACTGTGATGCATGAATAGACAGTCAGAGTAATGGAATGGACTAGAAATCCAGAAATAGGTCAAACACATAGAGCAATTGAGTAGTATATGATAGAAGTGACATCTCAAACCAGGAAAAACGGATTATTCAATAAATGCTGTTGGGACAACTGGGGAAAAAAATTAAATCTATACTTCATCTTACATCAGATAAAAATTCAAAATGAGTCAGAATTAAATGTGAAAAATGAAACTCCAAAAATCCTGAAAAAACACATGGGAAATCAAAAAATAAAACAAAAAACTCAGAGTGGTGAAGCCTTTTCTAATTATGAAATTCAGAAGCCATAAAAGAAGAAATTGATCAATTAAGCCACATTTTTAAAAAATCTGGCATGGAAAAAAAACTGCATCATAAGCAAATTAAGAAAATGTGAAAGTATCTATAATTCATATACACACAAGGCTAATCTTCTTAATATATAAAATATTCTTATAAATTGATAAGAACAAAGATCAGAAAGCTTAGCAAAGGATAAGAATAGTACACAAATAAGAAATTACAAATGGTTTGTAATCAATAAAAAATGTACAACCTACAAGAGGAGGAACACAAATTAAAACTGTACCCAAGACATCATTTTCTATCTATATTTGGCAAAAATCCAAAAGTTTAATACATTTTGTTGGTGAGACTGACAAAATACTCTTACATATTTCTTTTCAGAACATAAATTGGTATAATCCCAAAGGAGAACACTTTGATAATAATTACCCAAATTACAAATGATCCTACATTTCTACTTTATTTACTCTGGTGTTCCATGAAATTTTAACACATGCTATTATTTTGGTTTTAATCCTGAACGTTATCAATAGCCAATTTCAAGAATGGAAGAAAAGCAACTACAGGGAAATATACTGCCAATAGCAAAGATTTGTAGACTCAGAGGAAAAGTTGATATAGATTTTTTAAATGCCCATAGGGGCTGTTTAAAAAAAGGGCAAACAGCCCTATACACCTCAAATAGGTCTAAAGTACATAACTGTACCATAGCAAAGTATATCACTCATGTAAGTGATGATCTGAGTCACCAGGAACAAGTGAACTTGATTCAATGTATTTTATTTAAGGAGAGCATTATATAACATATTTCAGAAAGATTTTTCTACTAAAAGGTTGTTTGAAGTAAACATTCTGTTTTCCATGAAGTTCAGCATATTCTGAGGGTCCCCCAAACTGATATTTAGGGAAATGGATATTCACCCTAATTCCTCTTCCAATCTTTCTTGCCATCTATCTTCACACTTGGGTAGTACGTCAAATAATCAGATTGAAGTCAACCAGAAGTGAGCAAGGCTAAAGAATATTTGGGGGAAGTAGAAGAGAGGAAGGAGAAAAGGGCTAATAGGGTGAAAATGGGACAGGATGTTTTAGTTGGCACAGATGGCGCCACTCACCATATATCGACTTTTTCAGAGACTGGTTCATTGCGTATCACCTCTGGTGCCATCCATGCGACTGTGCCAGCAAAGGACATCTTGGTGCTTTTATCACTGAGTTCTTTAGATGTACCAAAATCTGAAATTTTTACTGCATCTGTGTGAGTCACTAAAACACTTTAAAAAGAAATAAAGAAAACATCCAGATCATTAGTACTAATGAAAACCATGACTCTCACTGGCAACTGAAGATTTTGTCTGCAGCCTCCTGTGTAGTAGAATTCAGCTTGCAAGTTCCAATATTACTAGGACATCAGCTATATACTAGAAACAGCACCATTCAAACTTGTGAGGCAACATAACATAGTGGGCCTTTTATACCTGTTTTTATTCTGCCACTACCACTTGCTAACTGGGTGACCTTTGCCAAGTTACTCAATTCTTCTAATCCAGTTTTCTCATCTGTAAGATGGACACAATTTAGGTATCTTATACACAGTCAAAATCTTATCTACAATATCTTACCCACAATTCAAAAATGCAAAAGGTTCTGAAAACGGTGTATCAATAGTTTTCTGTGTGTGTGTGTGTGTGTGTGTGTGTGTGTGTGTGTGTGTGTGTATAAAGCAAACCCTAGTTATCCCACTTTGTGTGACTCATAGGTTTTGCTGCAGAAATATGAATGTGGCTGATTATAGTATTGACTCAGACTTTGCTGGGAGTGTTAGATAACATTCTATGTTACCTTTCTGAAATCATCTAACTCCAAGAGTTTTGGATAAGGGATTATGGGTCTGTAATAATGACCTCATAAGATTTTCATTTGAATTAAATGGGGTAAGACATGTAAAACACTTCTGCTAAATAACTATTGGTTTCCACCTTTGCTGGCCTCAGGCAACCCACTAAGAAAAACACTTCTTTTAAAACACTGTTTAAATGACAGCCAACTAAAATCATACATTACACCATGACACTAGGGACTCTTTGCATTCAAAAGCTAGTTAGTATACTGGGATCCACTAATGTTGATAAGGGAAAGCAGGAATAAATTTAAGTAGATTACACACAAGTTGTGCTTCACTTCTCACAGTAGTTAGCTGAAATGTGACCTGGGGCGAGCTGCTTTTGCTAGCCTTAAAGATGAATACAGTCTGGTACCAGTTGAGTCCAAAGTACCACTAGACAGAATGCACTTGAAAAAACCTGTTCAGAACTTTATAATGTTAATGAATAGGGTTTCAGAAGCCGAATGATATAGAGACCTATTTTTAACAACTAAAGGCTTAGTACTCAAATAGTATCAGAATCAAAGTGGCTAGAAAGCAGAAAACTTCTCAATCCTCCCAATCTTCTCTTGAAACAGTCCCTTCTCTGTTTGAACCAGGGACTTCATATTTGTCCTCCTCCCCACAAGTGTCAAAAGGCTCTCTATAAGCTTACAATTGCTTTAGAATATCTTCACCCACGTCCGTCTGGTTTTTGTACCTGACATGTAACATGCACATAATTTAGGAATTTTAATTGAATGGTGTTAGTCTTGGTGACAATGCCTAAGGATTTAAATATCATGAAATAGTGGAGATAATTGGAGAACTGATGGTATCAGTCACCATAAAAGTCAAAAAAGGTGATAAACACCAAGAAAGAAAAACACTAGAAACTTCCTCTTCTGCTCCTTCTGTGCTGCTCATGGGCCCCGCTGGCATGACAGGAGGGAGTGGAGAATAGAGAAGATATGATATATGAACTTTCGTGGAATCTTCTCTGAGACAAAGGTGGGTCACACAGCCTAAAGATTTAATGTAGGTAATAAAATCCCTCTTTACGGCAAGTCAGATTGATCTTCGCCTTCTCAAAATTAGCTTGAACCCAAAGAGGCCAAGGCTGCTGGGCCTTGGGGTGGTGCTGATAACGGAAAGGCTTACTAAGCAACCAACTTATTATTCTAAGTTTTAAATGACAGCAGTTAAGCAGAATAGGATTTTATGTATTTTTTTAATTTCCTGAATTTGTCCTCTAGAATTAATTCTAAAGGAGAACAAGAAGGTTAAAGAGATCGACTTTGGTTAAGCAACTATTTGGTATACTTTCTGTGTATGTAGGGAAAACAAAAGCACCAGGTTATATTAATGTGAACACTATAATAAAGTTTATTTGTAAGTAACACAAGAAGGTTATTCAGTGAGCTAACAACCATAATAAACATTGTTGAAAACTGTGATGATAAATAAAAGCTACTTTAAAGTTTATAATCAAGGGCCAATGGACAGTGACTGTAATGGGGTATGTGGGGGGGACTTGATAATAGGGGGAGTCTAGTAACCATAATGTTGTTCAAGTAATTGTATATTAATGATATAAAAAAAAAGTTTATAATCGAGGACTGATTTGTATCTTCCATGGAGAAGAGGCAGGATTCATGGTGAATCCCTCACCTCCACATGATGAGGCAGGATGCAGTGGTCTTCAGTCTAAAAGTTCTGGGTTCAAGTCCTAGCTCTAGGACTTTGGGCTCTGAGCCCTAGTTTTTAGTATATAGAATAAGAATTATGATACTTGTTGTATTTGTGCCACACAATTTTTGCTAAGATCAAAGCAGATGTGATAATGGACATTAAAAAATGTTGTAAACCATGAAAGAAAGCACCATGCAAATGTTTTTGAAAGAAGATTAATTCTTCTCTAAACCAAAATTATAATGAGAAATAATAAAAATGTTTAAAAACAGGAACTGCACTGAAATACACCTTTTTTTTTCAATTCCTTGCTTTCTGTCATGTAATTTGAGGAACTAAATAAGCATTCCTCTTAAAGCAGTTATTAGTAGCCAAAGAATTACTTTCAAGATAGCTAGCTAGAAACAGTTCTGCTTCTCTTAAATAACCAGTTTATAGTACCTTATGGACACTGTGAACCTTATAACCATTTATTTCCTTCTTTTTTTAGACTCTAGGAAGCTCAAAGCCATGTTTATAGTCCACCTGTAACAACTGTACAGAATCTTATGGCATACATTTTGTGAACAAGCTTTAGTTTTAATGTTTTTATTTTCTCTTTGCCTCCATTTCTTATTCGCCCATTTTTATCCTGTTTATACATTTCCGAAACTCATTTAAAAAATGGTTTTGGGGGAACATACTAAGAAAACTTCAAATCAAGCCTTCAAGTGGAAAAGTTTGGCATTAATTATCTGAGATGATGGGAAGTGAATACTTCAGTTAATGATTAATTTTGTTTCAGTTGTACATTTAAAAAGCAACAAAAAGGAGAAACTAGTGTCAGGTGCCCAGACATATCTGCCATATAAGTAAGTAGGTAGGTCAACAACAACTCCCCAAACAGGCAAACAGAATTAGCTTCTGTGCTGGTTTAAACTGAACTGAAAGTATAATGTCTGAAAACTTCAACTATAGTTGATAAAATTCCTTATTTCAAAGCAATAAAAGGTGGCTGAAAAATTAACCCCAGAACTCACTTAGGTGATTTGAGATCACGATGAATAATTTTATGGAGATGCAAATAATTCATTCCACTTGCAATTCCTGTGGACCAGTCTACTAGTAATCGAGGCGTGATCTTCCTGCCAGCTCGCAAAACCTCGTAGAGTTGTCCATGGGCACAGTATTCCATGATGATACAATAACATGGGGCCTGAGTGCAAACACCCCTTTCAAGAAAACACAAACATATATATAAATATAAATACATGTATACACATTTATATTTTTAAAGAATACTTATTAAATTTAATAATTAAGACAAGTTCTCTGTCAAGTTAATTTTTAAGTGCATAATCTTTCCTGATTCTTAAATTACCATCAAAACTCCTCTAGTCTACATATTTCTCCCTTATGCATATAGACAATTTTAGTTTGTTTTTGTTCATTCTAGATACCTATATGCTGTGCTGTATCTGGTCTGTGGGACCATTCCATCCTGGCACAAAGAGGACTTTCCTGAGATTTGTGTAGGCTGGATGGTGTGTTGTTTCAGATTGTTAGGAATAATTTAAATGCCTTCCTTTTAAAATTAAATAGAGGGATTTATACATAATATACAGAGAGAATTCAAATAAAATACCATTATTCTTACAATTATTTGGTGAATTTTAAATTTCTCAAATTTAAGATAACTAACTAGACTAAAGCCCAAAAAGAGCCAATTTTCTGTACTACACAGTCTTTGAAAAACATTTGTTGAGAATAAAAGTGTTATACAATGTATTATACACATATGCAGCCTGTATTTTCATCAGTTCCTACATCTTCAGTGAAGCTTTTCCTGATTATTCCAGTCCAAAGAGCTCTTTCTCACTCTAAATTCCTATGCTGAGGAAGAGCCATTAGTTTTTCATACATCATTTTTCTGTCTTCATGTGGGCTCTTTGCAGGGAAAGGTCTTCAAATTCTTTGCTTTCTAAAGCATGGCCTAGAAGTCCAGAGCAATTCCTTGACAAATACTTCTTAACTGCAACTTAATTTTCATTGCTGTAAAGCCTTCACACAAACACACACAGAGGCAAGGGGTAGGAAGAAGGGTGCTCACATGAAAGAACATGTATTTGTCAGGCATGTTTACATTAATTTAATGTACCATGAACTGTATTATCTTTTCATTTCTACAGGTAAGTTTCAGAGAGAGAAACTGAATCATCCTAAGTCATACAATTTTAAGTGACAGAGCTGGAACTCAAATCCAGTCTGCCGGACTTCAAAGCCCATGCTCTTTTCACTCACTACACTAAGCTGTCTCCCTTTTAGTTTTTAACCTCTGTCCAGACAAGCAAAGTAGGGATTCCTATGTTAATATGTTACCTTACAAAAGTGGAACTGATAATATTAATTCTGCTTCACAGTTTTGTTTGAAGGATGAAAACAGAGAAGAAAAATTGGCATATGCAATTTTCTGTGTACCATCCCTTAGTGGTATGCATAACCTCCTTCAAAACTTTAGGTTGAGAGTATTCTGTCTTCAAGATGCCCAGCTAAAGTCCTCAGCCAGCTCCCAAGTCATGTCTTACCTCTTAGGCTCCTATAGTGATGAAAGAATTTAATCATGTGAAAATCTTATAACAGTAGGTTATGAAGCATATAATTAATATTTATTTTCTGCTTTGATGTCCCCATCAAATGCCACAAAGCTATTTCTATTACTCTCCTATCATTTTCTAAGTTACCTGAATTTTCATGTTGATTTTTAATTAAATTTTTTTTTTCAAGTTTTTGTTACTTGACTTTTAGGAAACCTCAGTGGAGCACAAGTGTACAGCAACTAAAAACAGACAATTTAATTTTCATTACAGAAAAATAGCGAACAGGCAGGAATAATGTAATATGCTTAAGAATATCAAAATAAATATTTATTTGAAGCTCCTCAGCATCCAGTTCCACTGTTTTAACTTGTCACACAAACTTAGACAGAAAGGGTCTAACAGTGATAATGTTACATGCTTTTCATCTTTCTTGACTGACGAATGAGAAGCAATCTTTCCATCAACCATGTACTATGACAAGGCTTCTTAGTAGCTATAAATAGCAGCCTGATAATCACTTCTAATTGCTACCTTTTCTTCCCCTCAGCACTCAACTCCATTAGGAACAGTCAGGTTGGGTTCTCTAAAAAGACTGATTTAAAAAATCGAAAGAAAAAAGAATATAGTATTCTTTTCTTTCACTTCCCCTTCTGTACATGGTTCTTACTACAAAAGAAGCTGTAAGCACAGAAATCAGTAACCAGAGGGAGTACTAAAATCTAATCATGGCTTCAGATCTTCCAGACGGTCCTGAATGATTCATTGGCCAAGCAACACATGGCACAGATGGCTGCAAACATAACACTGCACAATGCCTCAAGAGCTTGGGGTAAAGGACCAGAGACACAGCCTCACTATTGTTTTCCATGTAGAGGTAAAGACTAGTCAAGCATTTTCAACTTAGAGAGTAGGGACCAGCAGCATAATGTTTGTCTAAAATGCTGAAACCTGCATAAGAGGGTAGGAGGGTCAGAAGAGTAAGGTGGGGACAAGATTGCAAGGTAAAAGGAAAAAGCAAAAGTAAAGAAGGAAAAATAGAGTCCTCACACCAATACTCTGAGGAGACATTTCTGCCTTCAGTTACCTAGGTCATCCTGCTGGAAAGCTCTCTTACCTGGGACACACAACTCTGTTCACACTGCAGGAGGCCAAAGAGCCATGCGTATGTACAGAACCTGCCTCAAACCCAGCATCCTAATGATAAAAGCTTAAACGTTTAGCTGAATGGCAGTTAAATAAATAGAAGGCTCTTCCTTCCATTTAGGATGGTGCAGCATACTGGAAGTGATATCCCCTCAGGGAAGTAAAATGAAGGAAAGAAGTAAGTCTTTGATAATAAATCTGCTTAAAATAATCCTTCTATTGCCTTTTGAAATGTATCATCTTTGGAAAGATTATAATTTGTCACTATAGTATTTCATTTTAGTCTCACATCCTCCTGGCCCTATTAGGGCAGCCAGTGATAGAATCTTTACAGCAAAAGAGGCTCTGTCCCATGTCCTCCTCTGCATGGATGTTCCCTCTACAAGGAAACAAATCAAAGCATTTCACTTATTATCCCAGTTGAATGCTACTCTTCTTTTCACACCTCTTTCCTTTTCTATAATGGTTCTTGTTTGGAAATCAAAACTCAACCTTATTACTCATTTAAACCCATTCTACAAAACCTGTACCAAGATTTCTATCCCTTATTTTGGGGATGTGATATCAATGAAAAATTATCACATGGCATGTTAAGCTTTATAATGAGTTTTATCAAGAAAAGATCCTGTTGGGGACTGGGTAAAGTTTAGGAAGGGGGGATTTTTAAGCTTTTCCACTTTTAGCTGTAGCCTCATTGGTTATATTATTTTCCAGGGGTAAAATATATATATAAATATACAAAACATACCGAGAAGCCCTAGTTTCTAAACTTTCATCCTACCTAAAGGCACTTCCCTATTCTCTACCTTCCCTCCTCTAAAGCCACTCACCATTCATCTGCTCAAGCCTAGGGCAAAATTAGAAGGCTGGCAAGAGAGGAAATTCAAGGGAAAGGTACCGGCAGGAGAGATTACATATATTTAGAGCTCAGCATGCCAAGTTCATTGACTTCTACAAATTTATGTTTCAGCCTCTCCCTTTTGCTAGGGATTCCTGTCAATATGAAAATAACAGTCTGAACTAGAAAGATGTTTTTATACACTCTTGAAAACAATTACTTTGTGAAATGAACATAGCATATAACTTATTGTCATCAGTAACTCTACTATCATTAGATTTGGAAAGCTGAATGTTTGGCATTACTTGAAAAGGGATCTGGAAAAACCTGAGGCAGGGAGAAATACTCTGAAGGCACCTATATTATTACAATTTAGTATTTCAGTAGGGATACTAATAGAAATGAATTTTTAAAAATGTATCTGTTTATTATAAGGACTAATTGCTCTCTGATCATTTCAGATGACAGCTTTCTTTTTTTATTCAATTCTAGGATATTCACATTATCTTGGAGTGACCTCTGTCTTCCTATTCATAAATGAGGTCAATTCAGCAGATCTGACTGCTTGGCAGGAATTTCCCCCCCTCCCCACCCACCAACTCCCCTGTCCCATATACATCCCTTCCAAGCAGGGCTTGCTCTGGCAAAAAGAACTGCTAGATTATAAGATCCTTAGAGACATGACTCCAATTGTTTTTTGGTACTCTCCCAAAGCACCTAGCACAGTGCTAAGTCTCTAGAGTGCTCTTGACATGTCTTTCAAAGCAGGAACATGTATGTAGATATTGGGGGAAACAAAATCTATTTCTTTAAAAAAAAGAGCCTTGACCTACTTGAAAGCGATGATGTTAGGGTGCTTCAACTTCCTCAAATGCTTGATATCCGTCTCATTCTGTTCTCTCACTTTCTTGATGGCCACCTCCTCTGCTCGGAACTTGCCCAAGAAGACAGCTCCTTGGGCTCCACTACCCAGCCACTGCAGTTCTGAGATCTCCTCAAATGGCACTTCCCAGGTATCTAGGCATACAAGCGAGAAACAAACACATCTCAGAACTTGGCCAGGGACCATTCTACAAGGCCACTCCAAAGGTACCAACTTTATCATCATCCAAAATGATCTCTAGCCTTTGACTCCCACCTGGTAACTCTCCTCAAAATATACCCTTTCTGTAAGATTCCTCAAGGGAGGAACAACCTAAGACAGGCACAGTCACAGGGGGGCCATCAGATGAGAAATTGGGGATCAACAGTGGTGAGGCTTAGAACCTCACCCCCACTGTTTTGAGAGAAATCTTCTGCATCCGTGGATGTTTTAATATCCTTGTCTAGCTTGGATTAACACATAGTCTACAGGCACACACCTGATCATCTACAATTGCTCTCTTACAACACTAAACTATGTTTTCTACCTTTATCTTGCATCTACCTACCACTTCAGCATTTTATTAAAAATAAAAATAATAATAATAATAAAGGGAGAAATGTGGGATCCACATATAAATCAAGTATAAAAATCAAACGAATATTCATATTTGACCTGATTATTTATAATTCATAATGCGTGATCAAAACCGAAAGTTTCTGTGATGAGTGCCCTTGTACTGTTCACCATGTAAGAACTTATTCACTATCTAAGAATTCATTCACCATGTAAGAACTTGTTCGTTACGCTTCAGAAGATTGGAGACTGATGAGAATTAGGCTTGAGATGGATTAATGACTGTGCATTGAGCACTGACCCCCCTATACAGAATTTTATTGTTGTTAACAACCATTTGATCAATAAATATGAGAGATGCCCTCTTAAAATATATATATAAATATATATATACATATACCCTTTCTATGGGCCTTGATACTATAGCCAGATATTCATGTGTTAGTTTGTATCAATTTTTAACCAGTGAAATCAAGCAGATGAGAGATTTCCAATATTCTCTCCTCCAAACAAAACACATCTTGATATTCCCACAGTTCTACCTCCTGACTTCAAGCTTGCATGTTCAGTTTGCTTATCTGTCTCTATTCCACTATTCCTACCACATCACCCATTATAAGTGTTGTTTTATTTGTCTTTGAATTTCTAGTGCAAATGCTCAATTAATCCTTGTTGAATGAATTTTCAATGATACTCTCCTAAGGTCCTAATTGTGCATAATACTTGTATTAGTATTTACCTTTTATCAAGTACTTGCTATATGCCAGTCATTAGCATTGTGCTTTTCATATCTTATCTGTTTATCCTTTCAAAGATCCTGTAAGTCTGGCCTTATTATAGTTAAAGAGGAGGAAACTAAGACATAGGGTGGCTAAGTGACTTACCCTAAGTCATATAGCTTGTAAGTGGCAGAACTGGGCCCAGAACTTCAAAATTGATTCCAGGGACAGCGTTTTCTCTATTATACCATATTGCCTCTCATGAAGTAATTGAGAGGATCATTACAGATGATATATTTACTCATATAGATGCAGTATTTTCAAGTTTCTCTTTTTCTTAGGGTTTGGAGTTTTTTTTGGACAAAAATTGTAATGGGGCTCATTTCTAAATGGTTATATTTTTGATGGTTCATATGTTCTTTATTGTTTTCTGTATTATATTTCTTTAACCAAAGCCTGTATTACTTTTATAATGAATAAAATATTATTTTAAATAAAACACTTCATAAATTCAATCAACATGTGCTTTAAGCTCATGAAACTTACGAAGAAGAGTATAACCCATTGTTCCTTCTCCTTGTCCCCTTTTTACCAGTATATCATCACTGCACTGATAAGAAATGAACATCAAAGAGCTAAGAGTCCCACAGAGTGAAGAGAGGATGATGACAGTGTTAAAGGTTATGAGAGATTTTCATCCGATCACCAGTCACTAAAAGGCCACTGTTCACAGAACACTGAACAAGGTAGTAATAATTTGGCTCTGAAGATACTCTGGTCTTGAAAGCAAATCAACTCACCATCTACTATGTTGTTGATGAAGCAAGAGTAGAAAGAATTCAGTATCCAGAAGGGAACTACATTTCTCTCCTCTCCAATTTTCTGTCTCTTAAGAGATTCTGCAGATTCTTAATAAAATGTGGTTTCTCATTACAATGGGTAAACCACAGCCTTCCAAATATGAACATATAGAGCAGAAAAAATCATAGGGTGGTTTATAGCATGGGCATTTGTCTCATTCTTCTGCAATGAGCAGTAATAAAGGTTTCTGCTCTGTTGAAATAGAATAGATACTATACAAAAACAAATCTCTCTGAAATTCAAGTAGCTCATAAATGAACAAATGATGCCAAGTGAGATTTAGGAGGAAACAGTAAGTTACAGGCTTGACTGTGGTCAGTGTCTTTTTGGCTTCTCAGGACTGACAAGTGTTCAGGGTCTCATCCCCATTGGCTTCTCTGTACGGCACATACAGGACCCAGATACTGACAGAGTTCTGTAAATTGCTGTACCTGATAGGGATCCAGTGAAGAACTAAACTGTCATTTTGACCATTCTGGGGGCTGAATAAAGTACTATTACTGGATTCTGGGCCAAGAATGTAACTGGGGAACTATTTCTCTGAAAAACTTAAAAAAGCCCACTTTACCCTCATTTTTAATATAGTAACTACTAAAATTAGATAGTTTTGGGGTATCTTTTTTCCTTTATTCACTAAATCTTTATTTGCTGTTAAATACTAGAAACATTTGAAAGAAAAGAAAAAAAGTATTTTATCTGAAATCCCACTCCATCTAGTCTTTGTTAGTTTTCATCTGATCTTTGCTCATATGCACACAGCTATGACAAAGTTGTAATATACATATTTTTTCTATTTTTTCATGTATATGTATTCCCCATGTATTTATAGTTTTTATTTTAAGCTTTAATAGTTGTTTACTATCCCCTCTTACCTTTTTATGTACTGTGTCTCCATCTTACTGTTTGCTAATTTAAATTTGGTACTCTCTTCTTTCTTTATATTATTTCCTCAGACTCAATCCTTAGGTTAAATAGCTCAGTTTCCTGGCTGTAGGTATACATTTTAAATTGCTCTCCACAAGATTTTGCTGGATTTTGCTGACAGCAGTACTATATGAGTATGTTCTTTTTTACTGGAACTTTGCCAGCAATGAATATTGTCAATTATTTTTTGGAGCTAATTTAATTAGGTATAAAATAGTTTTATTAGTTTATGCTACTTTAATTGCCAGTAATACAGAATATTTTCTCCATGTTTGTCTAGTTCTCACATCTGCTTTGTGTGAACTGTCAAATTTGTCCTTTGTGCACTTATTTATCATGGTCTTGTAGTTCTTATAAACCAGGAGTTTTCTCTCTATTTCTTTGATATATATGAAAAAAATACTTTTACAAAAGCCTTTTTCTTTTAATTTTATTATTTTTGAAAAACGCATTTTTATAGTTGCCTGTCATTTCCTTTGTAATCTTTTCTACTGCCTAATCTATCACCTAAGAATCATCTATAGCTAATTTTTAAAAATTTTAACCTGTACATCTATCTGGAGTTTATTTTGGTGTATGGTGTGAGGACTGATATAAATTATTTTTTCATAGTGTTACTTAGTGATTCCAAAATAATTTGTTAAGTAATCCTCTTTTCATAGATGTTTATATTTTCATGATGTTTATAATGTAATTTATAATATTTAAACAAATAATGCCTATTATTTTGTATTTTGATAAAATGAGAAATGAGTTATTAAAATACAAATAATAAATTCATTTGGCCCTCAAATATCAAAGGTTGAGGATATTATATTAAAGAGTAAAATTTTCTTCTACTAACAGGAGCTCATGCCTGTTACTCAGCTATGTTCAGCCAAGTCTTAATTATCCATAGAAAAATTAAGGGGATAGCAGCACTGTTAATTCAAGAACACAGAGTATTACTTCAATCACATTTCCATAAACCTTTTCACTAGAACTGATAGCCAGAAGTAAAATTGACTGATGTGATGTCCTATCCAAATGTCCCTGTCAATACCTAGTAGAGAGCTATGAAACAGGAAAATGGTAGGAAAAAGGAATTTTAGCAGTAAGTGTGTGTAAAATCGAGGGCCCAGATACTTGAAGAGCAAGATAACCTCATAACACTGGAAACTGGCTATGCACTTTCCAGGGTTAGTCCCAACTTTCTGCTGTTTTTACATCTGTCCTATTGGTACGGCTTGTACATTTTCCAGCTTATATCTTCTGATTCATCACTATGATGACTATTTGAATTCCAATATTCACCATGAACTCCTAGGACCAAGAAAAAGCCACATGGCTACCCACTTTAATATGTAAGTTCTCTTTGGTCTGTATTTAGACATGTCTATGACAATACTTGCTTTGAGACTGGAAACTATTTGGTAATAAAAGATTTCATTTACACATACTACCTTACTTGGACCTCAGTACCAACATACTAACTGGGAGATGAAGACATTAAAACATTTTTGAATCTAATGAAATTTCCTCCTAAGTACCAAATGCAGGGACACATCTGTTTCATGTGCTATCCTTTGGTTAACTGTAATCCAGGATTAAAGATTAGCTCCTGATCCCACAACTGACAAGGAAAAAACTACACTTAGTTTCCGGACAGCAAATCTCTCCTAAGGCCCACAGCAACACCAGCCTACCGGAAGACATTCTACATCTGCTGAAGAGTTAGGTGGCTGCTATGCTCTGCTAAGCTTAGCTGAACATAAGTCTAGTTCTTATGGAAGACAATTAAATATTAGTTTACAGAACAATATAAAAAATTCAAAGGTTCCTTTTAACTAAGATACAGGGTGTGTCTGTTGTCCCTCTTTATGAGCCTCAGTGCTGCATCTGGATCCCAAGCCCTTCATATTACCACCAAAATAATGATTAGACTGGACAAATAAGACCCTAAAAGCCAAATATACTTCATCACATAAGAAGATATTAGGCTTGTGTCCAAGCAGAGAAGAGGGAACTTAATAAGGGCAGTTATTTCTTAGTTGTAGGATGACAAGATTTATTTTTCTCTTTGTGCTTATCTTTCTTCTCAATTTTTAAAATAGTAATACTGTTTGACAGAGTAGTGCCCAATCTTTGTGTGACTTAATTTTCTTGAAACCTGAAGATCACAGATGGGAAAAGAGAGTGGAATGTGCAGGGTATAGAAGTATGTATGAGAGAGAATGAGACAGACAGACAGAGAGACAAAACCCAGAGACTGACAAGGAGTACCTGGCGTGGAGCAGGAATGGATGCTGTGGTTGACAAGTCCTAAGAAGTATACCTGGAATTGATAGATTTATTGGTAAAACCCAACATACTTACGGGGAATGGGTATAGAGGGAGAGGTTAGTATTGGTTTAAGAGAAAGTATTTCTGAAATAGAAAAAATGGAATGCATGAGAAAAGTGGTTAATGGTGACTGATGTTGACTGGCTGTTGTAGAAAAGATGTTAACAGTCTTGACTAAATGAGAAGGGTAAACATTTAAGGGAGGGTCAGAGAGTTCAACACTCAGTTATGAAGTAAATAAAACAATCTCATTCCTGGCCCATATTTTTCCTTTCCAAATTTCTTGCTGAGAGAATGCATACGAACTGAATCATTTACATCAGGCTACAAAGATATATATCAGAAGCCTTAAAAGAAACAATCCCTTTGAACCCAACCATCCCTGTTCTAGGAATTTATCCTCAGGAAATTAAAGATATAATAAAAATAATCATAGATGTATGAAAATTAAGTAATAGATGCAGCGTGGTTTATAATCACTAAAATAGCAAACGAATTGTCAAGCAATGAAGGATTGCCTAAATAAATAAAGGGATGGTCTCACAATTTACTATTATGCAACCATTAAAATGATGAAGAAGTGTATTTCATGATGTGGAAATTGCCACAAAACGAAGTGAAAAAGTGTTACAGAACAAGACGACTTCTTTTTTTAACCACACACACACACACACAAAGACCAACAACATTAATGGTGGCTATTCTCAGAAGACTGATGATCATAGATTATTTTGACTTTTGGGGGAGAACTTACCTGTATGTTCCAATTTTTCTACATATATTACTTTGGTTATCAGGGGGAAAAAGTTCTTTTAAAGAATGTAAATGAAGTTATAAAGAACACCAGGTCCATATGTCCTCTTTACTTCAAATGCATAATGTTTGAATTGAAATACATGAATATACATATTATACAATGATAGGAGCTAAAAATTTATGTTTTAAAAAGCTGTGGAATCTTGAAATAAGAATGCCTCTCAAGACTGATTAGATATTTGTCCTTTTCTCAAAATGTAAGCTTTCTGTACTTGACTGTAGGAAAATAATTCCCTTTTACTGCAACCTAAGGCAGGCCTGCAATCTTCAGGGGCACTACCATGTGGCTTCTGTATGGTTTTGAATTAGTCCAGCGGCCATCAGACTTTTTGACTGCATAAACTTTCAATAAAAAATGTTTAAACATTTACTATGTGATGTATTTATAAATCATATACCTGTACAACTTTATTAAAATACCAAATGTATATGAAAACATGCATGAAAATAGAAATTTATAATGATGAGATAAAAGGAACAGGAGCTTTAACATTTTCCTCCTTATAATGAGCTCTGCATTGTCTTATCCATATTCTACTTTGGATACCACTGGACTGGCCAACTGCAAAAGATGGGCTTTGACCAAAACAGACCAGCCAAACATGAATCTGTTCCATTCAGAAGGTCTGTAGGACTTGATATAGGGTATTCATCTGGCTAGCTCTTTAATTTGCCCACAGGTCAAAGGTGACCCAGGTAATGATGATGGTGTGTTTACAAAGGAAGTATCCTCCAGGTCCATGCTCTGGCTTACCTTGCTGCTGCAACTTGTAATCAGTGGAATATGCCTTCCCAATGATATTCCATACAGGCCGTAAGCATCCAAATAGTCCTTCAAGAAACCCACCACTGCCACTGCCCGACCTGCTGAACTGAATCTTGATGTCTTCAGTGCCACTCATGCTCTCTCCATCCCCAGTGCTGCCGTGCCCCTGGGAAACGGCCAGCTCTGACTCATCTTGTTCCCTTAGCTGGAGAACGCTGTTCTCAAACTGGTCCCTGCAGTCCTCGCTCACACTTGTCAGTACTGTTGTGGTGATGGGGCTGCTCACACCCTCAGTTAGCTCTGTTTGCACCACCCCCTTTTCCTGCTGGTCCTTAAGGAGCTTGGGTGAGGGCTGGCTCCCCATAGGTGCAAGTTCATCCTGTAGTCTATGAAAGGTTTTGTTTTCACTCGAGGATAAGTGTGGGGAGGAGGAGCAGCTCAGGTGCTCCTGAGGGTTGGCCATCGTGCCATGAGTGTGCCCAAGGTTCTGAGATGACACTCAGAGGCTTATTAGGACAGGGTGCTGATGTAAGCCACGGCTCCAAAACCTGGGGAAAAATGGGAGAAGGACATGAAGTCACCCTTTTTTTTTAGTCATCCACACTACTACATTTTTGCTTATGAGTATAACAACATTGAAACAATGGGGATTTATAAATATATATGTCTACATTATGGAATACTGGGCAGCAGTTAAAAATCATGTTGTAGAAGAGTATTTAATAACATGACAAAATGTTCATGAAATATTAAGATAAAAAATAGGTTGAACAATATATACAACATAAGTCATTAAAAAATTTTTTTAAAGGATACACAACACATATATAAGAAAAAAAACTGGATGAATATAGCCAGAATTAACAACAATTATTTCTAGGTAGTTAGATTTTTGGTTTATACTGTTGTATTTTTCAAGGTATTCCATGCATTCTGCATTAATATGTTGCTATGGAGTAAATGTTTGTGTCTTACCCCAAATTCATATGTTGAAATTTAACCCCAAAAATGAGGGCATTTGGAGGCAGGGCCTTTGGGGGGCCATTCGATCATGAGGGTAGAGCCCTCATTAATGGGATCAGTGCTTGCAAAGAGATCCCAGAGAGCTCCCACAGACCTTCGCCTCCTCTGCTCTATGAGGACAGTGAGAAGACAGCTATCTATTAATCAAGAAGCAGGCCCTTAGCAGATAAATTCAATCTGCCAGTACCTTGATCTTTGACTTCCCAGCCTCTAGGATTGTGAGAAATACATGTTTATTGTTTGAGGTTTTTAGTCTGTGATATTTTTGTTATAGCAGGCTAAACAGATGAAGATATACATATATGTATATATTGTGTATATAATCAGAAGAAAAACACTTTCCCTTTACTCTTTGCTTTAATGCTTATACACTGGGACATTGCTTTACTTTCTAAGGCACTCATTCAGTCATGTGGATACGTCTCTTGTGTATGTGACCAGACAATTCTAAGATAGAAAATTTGTTGTCACTGCACTGCACCAAATCTGGGGCAATACAACTAAGCCCCAGCTCCTTAAACTTACTCTTTGCCTCTGAGTAAGCCCATTAGCACCAATTTCCCAGGGCCACTCAACCTCTGAAAATAAAGACATAGAATTGTTTTACATTGGTCAGATCATACAAAGTCAATGTTAAATTTATTCAACATATGTCTTTTATCATAAGTTTACTTTCTTTACAAATCCCCATACAATAGTCCTTCCTTCCTTCCCTCTATATTGAACATCTAGAATGTGTTAAGAGACCAGAGCATAAAGATGATCCTGCTTTACTGAGGTGGCCATAGACAGACCAACAAAAACTGACAGTACAGTGCTTATAATGGATCAACCAAATGCTTTGTAGCACTGAAGAGGGAGGGATAGTTTCAGGACTAGCTGCTCAAAGGTGGTAACTATTTACTGGTTTGAAGAAAGTATAAAAATGCATTAGGCAGGAAGAAAGATGAGTAAAAGAGGAAGGAGAGGGTACTACAGGTGTGGTGAAATATGAAAGGGGGCATGGAAGGATGAAGGATTATGGGAGAGATGAGAAGTCTAAGTGCTGGAATGAAGGTTATATTTAAGTATCTAGAGAAAGATGAGAATGGAGAAGAAGTCAGGGGCTAGACAGTAAGGAGCTTTGTATGCTATCCTGAAGGTGATGGAGAGTCATAGGATCCTGTATTGGGGGTTATGGATAAAAATAAACCATCCCTATGATACTAATTTCTCATTTTCATTATTATTGAAACCCAAATTTTAAGTCTTTTCCCCCATTGCCATGCCCTATGAATAGCTTGCGTGAGAACCAATGAAAATATCCTATTCTTTGAACTCTCATGAATTCCTCTAACAGCTATTGAGCTCCTGTTACATGTTATACAATGTGTTAGGCATTAATGAATAGTATATAGGTTCCTACTCTTTAGGAACTTATAATCTAGAGGGCAAGACAAATTGCTAACAACAGCCAGATCGTTAGAGATGTGTACAAAGTATTATGGGAGTCCAGAAACACACATCAAATATGCCTACAATGTCATAGAGGAAATTTTGTTTGAGTTGTAGCGTGAACCACAGGTCACTAGGAAGGTGAGACTAGGCACTCCAGCCACTACTGCAGAACAGGAGCAGGTAAGTCTTATGAAAGATGGACCAAGTTCAGATTCGGGGAGACCTGGATGACAATCTAGAGCTTTTGGATCTTAGCCTTATGACAACAGGAAGCCATTAAGGAATTTTAAGTGAGGGAGTGATTTGGTCAAATTTGTAATTTAAAAATCACATCTATAGAAATAGAGGTGGGACTGAAAGGAAAAGACTGAAGGTCAAACACCAGGAGAAAGAGTTCAAGTAAGAAATAATGAGGGCCTGAGCCAGGGCAGTAACAACGGCAATGAGGAGGAGGAGATAAATGTAAGAGGTAGAATCAGTAAAATCTAGTGATTAATTATAGACATGGGGGTTTGTGAGGAAAAGGAGAGGAGAAGATACTTGGGATAATGGACAAATGGGCAGTGTCATTAACTGAGATATCAAGTATCAGAAGAAGAGAATGTTTAAAAAGAAGGCAATTCCTTCAGTTATAGACAAAGGGTCTAAGCCTACTGTGCGTTTTATGCACTGGATCAGGATTTATTTATGTCATCTGATTTTAAAAAGACACCTTGTCAAGAGGGATTTGAAGAAAGGTAAAGATGAGGGCTCCTTTAGCTCAGTGGAAAAAGTATCAAAATAATATAAGGGTGACCCAAGTTAAATTAAACAGATATTTATCAAATGCATGCTAAGGGCTGTGCCATGCACTAGCTAGGTTCTATGGATACAGAACACTACTGTTACCATTACTACTTTTAATGATAAATAAGACAAAGTGCTTTACAATTTACAGAGACCTATGTACAAATCAATGATGTGCTGGCAAATTAGCTCTGCAGAAAAAAAGAAATCCAACAATCCAATCTGCAGTGTTTGCCAATTTCTCCATATAAATATTCCCACCATGACATATTTCAAGCTAGTAACAGTTAAATATCCTTACAAAGTTATTAAGTATTTGACAATTGGCTCTTACAAATCAGTGATTAAACCAGCACTAGCACTATAATCCTTGTAATAGTGTCATTCTCATTTTGCAAAGAATTAAGATTTTCCAAGGTCACATATTGAGTAAGTGTTAGAGCCGGAATCAAAATTTGACTCAAAATTCAGATTTCCAAATTCCCTAACCTCTGATAATAATCCTTACTTTCTTAGAATGTTTCACAGGTTATAAATGCTGTTGCCTATGATCTTGATCTGAACATGTGATCCCCTGTGTAAGGAAGCTAGAGCATGCAGTCATTATGCCTGTTTTTCACAGAAGGACACTAAAGCCTAGGGAGAGGTATGCTGAAGGTCACAGCACTAGAACTGGATACCAGATTATTTTTCCTCATCGCAAAACTCTCTTTTACCATACTGTTGCTGTAAGACATAGTTCCTTCCTTTGAAAGCTTATTGACTCCTTAAGGAGTTAATAATTACATGAAGGGCATCACATGCTGCCCACCCCACTCCCGTCATGAAAAACATGTCATGTCCTGTTACAGAGAGCCATGAGAGGAGGGAAGCCCTTATGGGGGCAAGAGCAGTTGGCTCAGACTGGATAAAAAAGGTAATGCTTGAGATGAACCTCTGAAAGGAAGATGTGTCTGGGCCTGACAGAGGAAAGGAAGTCGAGGAGGCTAAGAGCATTAGCAGAGGGAGGGAAGCAGACATGACCAGGGCACATGAGAGGGTTGGTAACCCAGAAATAAGGGAACAGCTGGCTAAGGCTCAGGAGCAGTGTGCGACAAAGGCAACTCCTGCCTTCCCATACGGGCTCTGAAAGCTCGTGAAATAATGCAGGTGATGATTTTTCCCCTTTAACACATCAGATAGATAACTATCTGGATGAGGTGAAATTAAAAGGGACTTAAATTCTAGGGCATGGAGAACTTTGGGGGCTGGGAAGCTGCCTGCAGATATAAGGTTAAGGGAGGAAAAGAAAGTAAAAGAAAAGTCAGATCCCTTTGTCACACTGTTTCCTGAGTTGATCCCCATTCCCCTCACCCCATCTTCCCACTCTAATCCTTTTGTGCTCAGCTCTAAGCTTTGATATTATGGATCCCCTCATTTTGCTTTCTTGCTGATCTCCTGCCACAACCTTGAGCTGTCTCTTGCCTTGGGCCTCTGTGACCTTGCTCCGCCTGATGACTAGTCTTTGAAGATTGCTGACTTCATACCATCTACCCTGGCCACTGCCTTAGCCATTACTTCCAGTCATCCTTTGCCATTGGGACTTGTGGTTATCATAGGGCATACATTATGCTATTGGCTCACATCAAACTTGAGGATAATGCAAATACCCAAATGTGTATGTGAATTATAGCCAAACACCTATTTGTGCTATTTGTTCATTGCCTCAAACTATAGGGCTTTATAGTTAATTCCTAGTAAATATCCATTTTGTCCATTTTTACCTGAGTTTCTCCCTAATGACATCACACCAGAATGAGCTCATACACAAAAAGTTAGAAAATTATGTTTGTTTTGTAAGTTAAGGGTGCACACGAAGCGGACCTGTTCCTACTGGAACTGGGAACACATCTAAGGAAGAGAAGGACTTTGGCTTGGTCTTCACATTCAGTCTGATACCATCAAGGAATATAGTCCAACCCACGTGTTATGCACATGAGAATCAAATTCCGGAGAATTGCTGACTTGTTCCGTACAACTAATTAGTGGCAGAGCTGGGGTGAGTCCTCCTTGCTCAGCTTATACTCTTCCTCTAGTTTGGTTGTTTCTTTATTCAGATAAAGAGACGCATAGAGGCATGATGTCATGACCACTGATGACAAAAACAACAGTAATTCACAGTGTTATTCTAGAGGCATAAAGCTACTCCCAAGGAGACAGTGCACCCACCAAGGGGGTGGCTCCGTACCTGTCAACAGAGTAGTGATAGGCTACCTGCTCTTGATGACTCTCACTGCTCTAAGAGTTGGCAGAGGCAGGGAAC